AAGTCTACATCATAAAGGTAGAAGCAGTGGGAAAGGAGCAAGAAGAAAAGAGAGAGGAAAAGAGTTGGAAGCCTATGGAGCAAGATGCCCCGGAACCCTCTATGCTGTGCTCAAAGTAGATAGAATGAGAAAGGGAAATTTTTTTCTTAATGCATTTCTGTAAATGATATAAATGGATTCCTTTTAAAGTTTTCAGGAAAGACGGAATACCAATATATGCAATTTTTGGATTTCTTCTGGGTGTTGGAAGGAAGATACATAGTACATAATGTTATTTTGGACCCTTCCTGAAGGGTTCCTTTATCATTGAGGAATACGTTAGTTTGCAAGAGTTAGAAAAGGGGACCAACAGTATCTTAACAAGTAGGGATTTGTGTCCCTCCTATAACAAGAAGCCCGGAGGCACATGGTTGTGGGCATGGTCTTTCAAGGACCCAGGCTCTTTTTATCTTTATGTACTGATCATCTGAGTGGCTTTTACACTTAGTTTTATACCCTATGTTTGAATGATGGCTGCTGCAGCTCCAGGCATCATGACCTCATTCAAAGGCAAGAAGTACAAGGGTGGTCAAGGTGAGAACCTATTTCCTCTTACATCTCTATTAAAAGGAACCAAATCATCTTTTTCAGCATCCCTCAGCACACTTTTCCTTAGATCTCATTGGCAGAACTGGGTCACTTGTTGCCCCAACACCCAGTATTATAGACAGGAAAATGCAAGAATCTGGCTTTCCAGACTCTGTAGCAAAGAAAATGGGACTGGGAGTGGCTTTTGGATGGCTGTCCATTGGGGTTTGCAGCAAATGTCCAGTCTCTCTCATTCAAGGGGCTCCTGGTTGGTGGTCAGCAGATTTGGGAACTGATGGCTACAACTCTGTGTCGGGAACGTCTGGCCTCCAGAGAAAAGCCACAGTAGTGCTCTTCAAAAATACTGGCATTCCCTTCACCAGTGAGCTGCTCAGTGCGAGGCAAGCATGTGTCTTCTGGGCCGTCCTGGAGAACTTAGTATTAGAATGGATAAGTAGGTCACACCTGATAAATCTTTTATATTATTTCCCTAAGTTCTCGGATTGCTTTCTCTACATAATATCAAGGCATTTCTGGCATCTCCCCTTCGTAAGAAGAACTTCGGCATAGATCTGAAAAGCCCAGACCCTAGAACCAGGCTAACTGATTTGAATCTCAGCTTTACTACTTAGAAGCTGCATGTGGGAAATTGTTGAACCTCCAAATGCCTCAGTTTCTGCTTTTATAAGTGGAGATGATAATACATATCTCAGGCTTATTCTTAGGATTAAATAACTTGATATATGATCGTATTTTCAACAGTGCTTGGCACCTGGTAAGAGCTACATGATCGCCGCTAGCATTATTATTTATGCTGGGCCCCCGAGTCTGGGTTTTAGCACCAACTGAGCAGATGATTAATACTACCCCCAACTGCTCATGTGAACACAGAGTCTGGAATTTTGAGAACTGCTTCCATATCAGTAGATTCAGCCCAATCTAAAGCTGTGTTCTTCTTTCTTTACTCTAGAATTCTCAGAATCTCTCACCACATGTATTCCTCAGATTTTTTCTTTTCCAAGACAGCCGAGTGTCAAAACTCTGTGTGATGGTTCGGTCTTTTCTGGGGTTTATCTTTTCAGCTGGTCTCTTGAGACGTGCTAGGAACCTCATCATGGCCTCCATTTGGTAAGGGAAGCCAGCACAGAGCTTGAGCGCCATGGGTATATTCAGTTACCTGGATTTTCTCATGTCTGTCCATTCTGTCCTCCAGGTCCTACTCTGTTCTAATCAATGCCTTGCTTTCAAATAAGAGTGCTTAGGCTGTGCATTTAAGTGGTTTTATAATTCAGTGACCCACAAGATCAAATTTCGTTTTTAGTTTTCACCTATCTTGATCTCTAGCTGTTAGAAAAAAGAAATTTTGTTGTTATTGATGTTTTTTCTTTGTTTGTCTTAAAAATCACAGAAAAATCCCTGGTATATATGTCCTTTGAGCTGAGAATTTAGGAATTTGAACTGAGAAATTAGGAGTTAGAGCTCATTGTTCTCTTTCTTTAAGCTGTCCAACTCCATAAAACAACAGAAACAACCACCTTACTCCCACAGTCCTTATAGTCCTCAGCCACTACTTGGTTTCCCCAAAATTGATTTCAATGGGTACTTCATTCTAGGTGAGCACAGTGATAATTGAATTAAACCACCTTGCTTCTCTATGCTAGAAGCTGCCTGCATGAGAACCCCTTATACAGTTGGATTTTCAACCCTCAGTCTTACTCAAACTAGATAACGCATCCTTCTTCTGTTTTCCTGAGGGTTTGTGTCTGTTGGTTCTAATGTCTGTGTCAATCAGGCTACTTAACTACAAGCAACAGAAAGTTACTCTACTTGATTTAGTAAGAGATGCTGAGAAACAATGGACTTGCTTGTATGGACAGAGTTGTGTTTTCTACATTTATAATTGGGCAATTATCTAAAGTATGTTACACAGGACAAATATATGGAAAGAAGTAGAGCAGACTTAGCAATACCAAGAGACACTGTTGCATTGTTATGAAGTAATCCCAAATATCTTCCTTTTTTTAACCTAACATCCCTTGTTTACAAGTGGTGGAAATGCTAAAAATCAATCACTATTCATCAGGTAAGCATGACCTTGACCATCATCAGCCGGGGCTTTCACTACTAAAATCCCACTGTGCTATTTTCTTCCTCTCTAAGTTTGTAAGGAATTCTCTCCTGAGAGGACATGATGAAATACACAATTCCATCTTAGTAAGCATCTTTATGTCTAAAAGCAATGTCCTTTAGCAATTATTAATGTAAATTATAATCTTAACTTTGTAAGAAAAACAATGGAGATAGTATTAATGTCCTTCAAAGGCATTGTAAGTATATTATTTATACAAATAAGTAGGAGATATATAATCTAAATATATTTGTATCATATAAATACACATAATGTGTGTACATATGAATATCACACCCTTACACTTTCTCTTTATACACATACATTTTTTAACAAGATCCTGAAATAATAACCGTATGTAATTTCCTCTATAGCAGTAGGTCTGCAATGTTTAAATGACTGATGTCTTTCAGAAATCCCTAGGTAACCAGGTGGTACAGTTATTAACCACCCGCTGGAACTTGGCTTTGAAGCAAATCTATTAGGATTAGAATCTGCACCATCCCTATTCAGAGCACAGAAGGTCTTGGCCACCAGATGTCACTATTCTTCTATTTCCCTCCCTGTGCCCTTAGAGCTCTGAGACCTTATTTTCTAACAAGGGACTAAGGAAAATGCATGCCTCCCAACGTTCCTGGGATTTCACCAAAAGGTATTTTGAAGAGGAATAATCCTGCCCATGCAGATTTCCTTGGGGCTCTCAAATATCACCTGGACAGTTTCTGACAGCTGAGGATCCAAGTGGCTGAAAAGTTGGGGCTTATCTGGTCAAAAAATGTTAGAGCCTTTTCTTTGAGCTTGAAGTTAAAGATAGGACTGGCCTAATGTGCCTTGAGCCAGAGCTAGCTCAATGTAGGAGAGGCCACGAGGTGTGATCTACCAAGATCCTGGAGTCTGGAGACTTCCCTAACCCTTGGGTGGCCCTGAGAACTCACTTACAAAATGAGAAAGTTGAGCTAAGTCATTTCTAGGGTCTAAAAATTCCATGATCCTCAGTTTTAAGCCTCTGTTGAGGAGTGTGGGCAGCAGAGTAGGGTGATCTAAATTCAAGACAGAAGACCCCAGGAAGGACAGTGAAATAAGGGTGGAAAAATCCCACAGGGAAGGTAAGGGGAAGTTGGGCATAATTTTCATACAGTCATCTTATATAATGACTGGTTACAGGGCCTGAAACGGGCTGGTGGTGTTATGAACCTTGTCATGTTGACCCTTAGGTGATCCACCAGGCCATTCTCCCTCCCTTCTAGATACCACTTAACAATGATCTATAATGTTCTGATGTACATGTACGACTGTCTCTCCCCGGGCTTGGTTGGGTTTAATATGTCCTGTCAGTCAATGTTTGTGGTACCATCAGGACATGCGATGTGTTTTATTTCGTTTTGAATTTACAATAGTACAGTGTTCAGCTAGCTCATCCAGTGTGTTCACAGAATCCAAGAGAGGGAGGAAGAAAAAGAAAGAAATGGAATTCATTTATCGAGCGCCTACTATATGCCAAGTGTACCTAAATACGTTACATGTGCTTTCTTTCATCTTCAAAATAGGCTCCTGAGGCAGCATTATGCTCATAGATAAAGAGGCTGAATTCAAATGGTTAAGTGACTTGTCCAAGGTCACAAAAACCAAGTGGTAGACTCAATGGCTACCTATAACACATTTTACGAAGAAGGAAACTGAAACTCAGGGCACTTACTAAAGTTGTATGCCCCTGTAAATGGGTGAGCCCCCAGTTGTCCCTCACTGGGCTTCACTGCTAGAAGGCCCCTGGTGCTTCGAGGCCCCTGGACTGCACCACTCCAGAGGATGCTTTGTCATATGAGTATTGGTACACTATCCCCGACCTTGCTAGCATATTGTTTATGGCCGCGATTAACCTGTCTCCCTTGCTCCTTTCCCGCTTTGGGCTGCGGAACTGAAAGGTTGCTAGAAGTCCTCTCCGACAGAGTTGAGAGTTTGCAGACGGCCCCTGAGACGCTGGGGCGTTCCGAATTGGCTGAGCGCTCTGCCTGGGAGGGCGGGGAGTTTGCCGAACGTCCCTGGCCAGAATCCCTGCCTTCAAGTGCCTTGAGCCCAGAAGCGGGGAGAAGTTGGAGACGTTGGGCTGGGGGGTGTTGGGAGAAATTGCGGACAGACTCCCGCCCTGCTAGGCTGAGCCCCCCGAGGAGCGTAGCTACCGCGTCCGGGCTGTTTGTGGACGCGCCGCGCGCGGCCCCGCCAGGGCTGGGAGTTTGCAGACCGTCCCTGCCGCGGCCCGCTCGGCGGCGGCCCTGCGGCTCCCGCGGCAGCCGCGGCGGCCCCGGGCGCGATCCAGCCCAGGTAGCCGCGCCGCAGGCTCGGGGCGCCGCGACCCCGTACCCCGCCGCGTCGTGGGCCCCGCGGGGACGACGGCTGGCGGGCGCTCCCTGCTGCTCCTGCTGCTGTTCAACAAGGAGGTGAGAGCCACTGGGTCGGGGCGATCGCGTCGGGCTCGCCATCCCCGCGGGGAGATGCACGCAGAAGGACCGCGGAGGGCGCGGGTAGCTGGGCGCCGGCGGGGAGAGCCTACACCGAGGGCGGCGCGGCCGGGGGCTTCAGCCTGCCGCCTGCGTGGGTGCCCTGGCTGCGGCCGCTCTGCGGGACCCGGGAGTGCAGCGGGGGACGCGCCTTGAAGCGCCCACCTGCCTGGGGCAGCCCTCCCCAAGAGAAACAGCAGGCCCCCAGGGCCCTTGGGGAAGAGGCTTGTGGGTTTTTCAAGGGACTGTCCAGAGGAGGCTTTGGTGGCGCGGGCTGGGGATGGCAGGTGGGCGCTCGGACCGTGGAGGAGCCTAGTGGGATCACGCTGCGGGTGTGGGCCGGGCTGGGGTCCCGGGGACCGGGGCGCGCAGGGCGGGCTCAGCCAGCGGCCGGTGGGGAGGAAGAAGAAGGGAGGCTGGTCCGGGGCCCAGAAGAGGAGGGATGCGACGGACCGACGCTCGGGGCTGGGGGACCAGGGAAGCCCGGGGGAATCCCCTAACCCCTTGGGGCCGCTCGGCCGCCCGCGACCCCGTCAGGGCGCTCCGCGAGGCTGCCCGGCCGGAGAGGCTGCGGGGAGCGCCCAGCCCACACCCGCGCACACACTCCCGGAGAGCATGCTCAGTGCGGCCCTGGGAACTTCCTGCCGAGTCGCGAGCCGCCCCGGCCCCCTCTGGGCCCCCCTCCGGGTCGACGGCGTGCTAAGTTGGGGGAGACCGAGGTCGCGGGTGGGGGGCGCGGCGTCCGCCTGTCGCCCTTTCGTGCCCCTGGCCCCTGTCTCGCTTTTGCTCAGATCCCAGCGCTGCTGGCGCCAACCGCCCCCGCGGCTGGGAACGGGGGTGTGGATGTCATCCCCTGCTCCCCGAGGCCAGGTCCGAGGCCGGGAGGCCAGAGGCCTGGCGGTGCGGCCGCTGGCCTGGTGGACTCGCTCTCTGTGCACTCGCCGAGCGCACGGACCCCGCGCCGGGAGCAGATTGGGTGGAAGGGGGTGTGTGAGCCGGGGACGTTCGCGCACACACTTGCTGTCATACACAAAGCCGTGGTTTCGTAGCTACCGCGCGGAAGAGGGAAGAGGTGGCGCTTGCATTGTCCAGCCACGTTCGGAGCGCCAGCGGGGTGCTCAGCTCCAAGCCCGCGATGCTTACGTTTTCAGAGATGCCGGGGTCAAGGTCTAGGGCCGGGTGCTCCCGACGCTGATTGCCGAGCCCGGCGCGGGGCGGACACTGTTGTGAGCACCCGGCTCTGGCGGCCCAGTTAGGGAAGGTTGGGCACTTACGGAGCTGTGAAGTTGGGGAGGGGAAAGCTGAGGTGTGTATGGGGTTCGGATGGAATGGCAACAGTGCACCTGGAAACACTCAGATTCGAGTAGTAGCGGCAGGATCTCATTGTAAAGATAGGCAACTGGGAAGCTGGTGTCCCCACCTGTGTTCATTGTCAGGACCTGAGGGACTTGGTTGGATTTTACTCCGAGAGCACCCCGCCAAAACACCACCGTGTTAGCAACTCTATCACCCATATCTTGAACCTTGACACAGGATCAGAACTGCCTTGTTTTTAATTCAAGAAATCAAAAAACAGTTTTTCCTGGTAGGCAAACCCATCACAGATCTATCTTGATAAATGGATTTTCACCCCCCCCCCACTTCCTTCTTCCCTACAAATTCTTTTTGTTGTTATTGTTCAAGGCTGAGATAAGCACCCTTAACTTTGGCACTGCTAGGATTAGAGCGAAGCTCCATTTTCTAGAGGCTTTTGTAGTTTTCACCAGTTACCAACTTGCTCTCCGGGTAGTCAGAGTGAAGTGGAGAGGTCCTGAAAATCGGAGTGATAGAGGAGGGGGAAGAAGGTGACCTTTTCGCCGCTTTTAGGAGCTGGGACAAGAGGAGAAGGGAGCTCCTCTGCCTGACACCTGACTCTGGCAGAACTTCCTCTGGTCTCCACCTTTGTTCCAACTTGCCTGGGTTTGAGACACTTAGGCCTGGAGTCACTAGGAGGAAGGAGTCTGCAGCCCTGGTTTGGAGCTTTGCGGGGTTTGCAACTACACCAGGCAGCTGCTGGTTGGGTTGGTGTTTAGGCGGCCGGGGATGGCAGGAGGGCTGGGGGCTCTGCCCAGATCTGCCAATGGCATCTGTGCACCCCAGCCCCGCTGCCAAAGCAGCTCATGGGCTTTTTGATCTCAGCAGCGCACATTTCAAGTGCTTTGTGTTTGAAGTGTGAATACAGTACATATATATATTCACACATATGTATGTGTATATACGTTTTTATAAAGAAGTATGTGCATATGCAGTGTTCTTCGGTAGCATCTTGGAGCTGGAAGGGACCTCAGGAGATCATAGGAATTCAAATTTTCTCCCTTCCCATTCAGTTTTCTCCATTTAAAAATAACTAAAGCAGCCTTCTGCCCAGCTGGCCTCCAAAAGCATGGAAATGCCAGAGTCCCCTGTGATTCTAGCGGGGTGGGGGCTTTGGCTCCTCCCCTGAGAAGTGTAGCTCCTCAGGATCCCTTGTAGATGTCAGTCATTTAACACCACCTTTCCAAATGCTCCCTGTGGCTTGGGATCCAAGTCACTGCAGTGTCACCCTCAGATTGATTTTGGCAGGGGACAGACAGTGGCCAGTGTGCCCTGCCGAGATATCCAGAAAACTGCATGGAGCAGTCATCATGAGACTTGCCTTGGGAAGTTCATGTCCTTTCTCACTCTGTGGTCATCCAGGCAGGTGGTTGCCCTGCTCCTTCCCAAGAGATGTAAAAAGCAGTGCGGACTCATTTTATTCCCTCTTCCTTGTGTGTCTTGGCCTCCTGGCTCTAGAAAGGTGGGGTGGTGGTGGGGTTGAGGGGCTTCCTGTGTTGATATTATTATAGGAAATCCCAGGAAAGCATATACTGTCAGGAGCTTTGTCTCGGGGGGGTTTGTTGTGTGTGTCAAAGTTTGAGAAAGGGTCCTTGTGTCAGGTGAAGACTTAACTGAGAGTTTTGGCTGTTGGAAGATGTATGTGTTCCAGAATCCGGGAACAGTTGAGAGGTTTGGGTCACAAATAAATCCGATGCTTGTCAGTGCAAGTTTTACTAGTCTGCCTTTAAAGTTCATAAGTGGCTTTGAAGTATAGAGTCACTCTTAAGAACACTTAAGAACACTTTTTAATGTGTTGGAAATTGAGTAGCAAGCTCCCCAACCCTTCTTGAAGTTTCTAATCTAGGTCTTGTCCCTATTCTATATGGCATCTTGTTTTAACATCAAGAATTGGAGCACCATGTGACCTCTGCCTGCTGTAGGTGTGTTCATTGAGTAAGTTTGTCTTGCAGCGGCATGAGCCATGCCCTGTGCTGGGGCTGAGGATAAAGATGTCCTTCTTCAAAATTACCTTTTGAACTTTTAATTTATCTGACCTTCTCTTTCTGTGTGTTAATGCAAACTAATAGTTCTTGGAAGGTCGCCAAGGTGGGTCCCAGGAGCCTTAGTACTTTAAGTATGTTCTCTCAGCTGGAAGCGTGGGGACTTGAGCTGCGTTTGCTTCTGTGAGCCGTTTTATTTATTTGTTTGCTTTTTCACTGCTACAATTAAATTCATGTTTTCCCGACTTTGTCATATCTGGAAAGCTGTATGTGTGCATGAGAGGGGTTGGAAGGATCGCTTTAGTTCTTCAAACTCCCAGAGCTCTCTTATCTGAACACATGACCTTCTGGAAAGAGAACAGGAACCTTCCTGTCAAGGCCGTTTGTCCAGCCTGAAAAATCAGCACAGGCAAGGGGGATAAGCTGCTATGGCCGGGTTTGGTGGAGTTCTCCCTGTAAATTGCCCCCCTTCCCCCCTCCCCTGCCATGCTTGTGTTGAGGCCTGCTAGACCTTGGCCCCAGCTGGGGTGGTTCTCAAGGATGGCTAAGGAGTGTTTCTCCACCCTGTTTCCCATGCACTTAGGAGTGAGGTGTATCCAAGTACTTTATTACTTGTAAGAGTTAAATACTGGTGTTTGCATTTGGTTTACTAAAAAAAGAAAAAGTCAGCCCTTTAAGGTTACCCCTAGAATAGATTAACAGCCTCACTTTTGCATCCCTCTGTGATTTTTTGTGGCTGGCCCTGGAGGGAATGCGTGCCGCCCACCCACTCCTGTCTCAGCTGCACTTCTTAGTGGTGTCGTTCTGAGCACAGACGGCTTGTAAGTCCTGTCACGCTGGTAAGATGCTTTTCCTAAGTATCCTACACAGAACAGTCTTCCACGGTAATAGTGTTGGATCTCTTTCATGTCTCAGTCCACTCATGGGTCTGTGTTGTGTTGGTCATTGTTACAGATATTAAGTGTCCTTGTGGAGAAATGTTAAGAGGTGAGCAGGACAATAGAGATGGGATGAAAAACTGTACCTTCTGTAATTGACCTGATTGCATATGCTTCTTTCCTATTTCCTTTACTACTCCCTACAGTGGTAAGGTGGGCACTGTTGTCATTCCCAGTTTATATATTGGGACACTGAGACGTTTGTGAGGTTGTGAAACCTGGCTGTGGTCACACACAGCAAGTGACAGGGCGAGGATTTGAACGCGGGTGGGCTAGGTCCAGAGTCCATATTAGCTGGACTATGCTTAGTTAAGGCTAGCAACCTCATCCTGAGCTGTCAGCACTTTCTTTCCAACCAAAGCCAAGAGGAGCCTTAGACGTTCAGGAGTTGGAAAGCAGCTCTGGGAGATCCTTCTGGATTCCTTCTCTTTCTAGCCAAGGGCATGGCCGTGTAGAGAACGAGAAGGGCTTACTTGAAGTCTTATCAGCCAGTGGGCAGCAGTGACAAAGCTGGGTTTCAGTTCTGACCCTTGGTCCCACAGGAACAATTGATAACAACTGATAACAGTTGTGTGCCTCCTTTGTTTGTGGAAATGATTCCGGAAGCAAATGCGCTGGTTGTTTGGCATCTGCCCCTCCCCCTCCGAGAACCCCCCTGTGCCTGTGA